AAAAAAACAGAAGAATGCGTTTTCACTCGATTTCATACTTCAATTATAACGGTAGCCAGTGAACTACTATGACTAAACCATTCTTAAGTTGCATGAAACTCTACACTCGATTACTTTCGAGGGCGGATCGCTTCAAATGATGAACAGTTTCTCAGTCCGTATTTCGTCAAATAGTATTAGACTACCTATTCTACATTTTCTGAAAAACATCCTCTCATGCTAGAAATTTTAACCGAAACCTGGGCTCAGAAGTTGTCAATTAACTAGAGCAATTCTTTTCTATGTTTCTATTCAATCGTATGACATTTTTCTGATTACTTCTTTAAAACACTTGTCTTAGATCACAAAGATTTTCCTTTTTACTTGATTTAATTTCTTTATCATTAATCAATCGACCAAGAATACGACAAATAAGTTCATAATATTCCAATAATTTTTTATGAACAATATCTTCTGAATGAGCAGCAATTGAGCAAAATGCTGCTGATAAATGTTCAAAAAATGATCGAATCTTTTTCGGATATATTACATTTACTAATTTGGCAAATCGTCATAAAACACCTAATCGAAATTAAAAAAAAAAACTTTATTATAAATTTAGATCAAATAATAAAAATAACCTTTTAAAGCTGTTGGTTCAACATTAGGATTATGTGTTATAACTCCATGCAATTCAACTTGAATTCTTGTTAAATCTACTTCTTTTAAATTCTACTTTATAAGTCATACAAAATTATACAAAAAAAAAGAATTTCTTTTATGAGACTTTAACAAGGTGATTAAGATTTTCTTCGGCAGTCAATCGTACACCATAATCATTTTCATCACATTTTGTAAATAATTTTTCCACACTAGCTGTAATTAATTTAAAATAATTTTTATTGTTACGTGGAGACAAGAAAAACATTTGATAGGAGATTAAAACAAAATGAAAAACAGAAAAAAATTAAATTATTTACTTGATTATTAATGTTTGTGACGTTGTTGTTGAAAGTAATTTTAAAACTTCAACTGATTTACTTAGTTTATCCATGTTGTATAATTTACATTCAGTTCATTTATTTTAAAGTCAAATAAATAAATGACTAGTTTAAACATTGTTTGATAATCATAACAAATGAATGAATAGTCGACTGAAAAAGCCTAACATCGATTGAATATTCATAAACACCAGGGTTTGCAATGGAAATCTAAAACAAAATGTATCTGTACATTTTACTTATATAACTAAAGTGAATCCGTACACTTTATTTTCATTACCAAAGTGTATCAAAGTGCACGGATACGGAAGTCAACTTTTTTCAAATATAAAATATAAATTGAAGTATTCGGAACATTCATAACCGAGAAATGTAAGTACATAATCATCCAAAAATAACAAGTATCTATCCTATTTCATTATCTACCGTTTTACAAAAAAATAAGCAAAGAAAAACGCGAGTTTATAGAAAAAAACATAAACGAGTTTTGTATTGCATAGGGTCGCATCATTATCAGAGATCGAGAAAAAAAGAAGGCATATCTAATTAATGCCCTGTGGGAGTTAAAACTGCGGTAGTTATAACTCGAGTTATAACTATCAACTCGTGAAAATTTTGAGCAGATTGGAACGAGTTAAAATAGTAATCACTTTGATTTCATTGACATGTTCGATAGTACAAAATGAAAATATACCTATTTGCAATGTTCTTACGTTCGAAAACAAGCATTAATGAATTTATTTTCTTTGAGGTTTTCTTGTGATGTATCCATCTGTAAGTTACATTTTCTCATACTAATACCTCACGCACTAATGAGATAAACAGAGTTGTGACCGATCGAGAATTTTCGAACTAGTCCGGCTCAAAAAACGTTTCAAACCGGTAAAAACCAGAGGAAGCTGGTGGATTAATTAGGTGATTTACTATTATTTAAAGGGAGAGGCTTTAAAAAACACTCGTTTTTTCTTTGTTTTTTGGTTAGGATTTTGAAACCTTTAAGAGAAGATATCATACCATAGTCGTTTATATCTATAAGGCTTTCCAAAGATGAAAATAGAAAGTTTCTCTCGCGCGGAAAAAAGTCAATTGACTAGATAGTTGATTGCTAGATGTTTCTCTTTCAACGCTGGTTCAATCTTAAATATAGTCTCTGATAAAACACCAATAAGATAAATTGAGAAATCTGTACCGGGTAACACAGTTTTCATTGTGCTTTTCAAAAAATGAAATAAACTTCGATTAAAAAAATAGAAATATTATAGATACACAAGAAAATCAGAGCGATAGTTTATGAAACAATAAGATTATTTAGATAAAAGAACTGTAAGTTGCACTCAATATAGTTTCCTAGGAAAAAATTGTATATCTGGAAGATTGTGAAATAGGAGTGCTAGCTTAGCATTAGCGTCGGCATTAATCAATACAGTTTTTAATACTTTCTTATATGCTTAAGTATTAATCAATGCCAATGCTAATGTCAAATCGGCACTCCTATAAAGAAATTCATTTTTTGATCCAATCCCAGCAGAGCAGGAGTGAATTTCCAATAAATTTTTCTTTCAAACCGGCGAAGACCGATCGGTGTAATCATTTCAATCGATTCGATTCGGCATCTGCCCAGTTTGTTTGCAAGTTTCTGGACAACACATCCATTGCTGTTCAACATTGAAAGTTTTTTCCTATATTAACAGTTACGAACGAAACGTAGAAGTTACAATCATTTCTGCAGCAGAGACAATCATCAGGCACATCTAATTTTGAGTTAAAACTATGGTTTTGAAGGTTTCATAATCGAGTAGATCCATAATGCATGCAATTCTTATAGATTTTGAACTACTTAGTTATAAATATCAACTGTAGTTATAACTATCAACCGCAGTTATGACTTTCAACCATATTTATAATCGTAAACTTTATTCAGAATCCGTTTTTTATACTCACTAATAAACATAATTTTTTTATGTTGCTCGTCACATCAAACCTATTAGACAAATCCACACCCCTAAGTAAGGTATGTTCACACTAGATATCAACGCGCTGTCATTCACTCGATTCTCCTAAATCATTTAGCAAGTATTTCTTTTTGTCTTTGACTAATAGGAAGATAATGGTAGCATGTTCTATTCTCTCAATCTTCTCCTTTCTTTTCTTTCACTTCTTTTCTCCGTCGTTCGTTGATATATCAACGAGAAAGGCAATAAATGAAGCATAGTAATATATGCATTGTCATAAGTAAGACGAACTTATAAGAATGAGAAGAAAATGATGTAATAAATTAATTTCGTGTCAAAGTAAAACATACGTAATTTTACTAACAAATAGCGTTCTCTAAATTTTGTGACAAGCTACATCGAATTTTATGGCTATGTCAGAGACTAAAGATTAGAACTATACTATTAACTTTTCAACTGTGTTCTCAATTGCTCATAATTCCAAGAGTATCATTAGTCACACAATGAACGATCCGTTTCTTGAATGGGCATTTGCGTATGAGGCAAAAATATGAGAAAATGTAACTTACAGATGGATACATCACCAGAAAACCTCAAAGAAAATAAATCCATTAATGCTTGTTTTCGAAAGTAAGAACATTGCAAATAGGTATATTTTCATTTTGTACTATCGAACATGTCAATGAAATCAAAGTGATTACTATTTTAACTCATTCCAATCTGCTCAAAATTTTCACGAGTTGATAGTTATAACCACGGTTGATAGTTATAACTGCGATTGATAGTTATAACCCAAGTTATAACCATTTTAACTTTTAGCTGTTTTTCTCAACTATCAACCTTTTGAAAAACAGTTTTAACTCCCACAGAGAATTAATGATAAGACCGATCGAAAGATATCACAATTTACTATGGCCTTTCCATTCTATTTAATTTAAAACTTCTTAGCACTCTTAATGCATTAATATGAAGTGTAAATTTATTCTTTACAGTGTACGACGTACACTTCGTTTTTCCAACCAAAGTGTAAAACAGTGTACATAAAAAACAACAGATGTTCTGTACATTTTGTTTCTGCTTGGTACACCTGCTATTGCAAACCCTGATAAACACCATTGATATAAATTGAAAACCTTCTCATCAACCGAAATTCTTATAAGTCTGACGTCTCTAAAAGTAGATATAAAAACTTTAATACTCTAATCAAAACTCAATAGAAATCCAAGTCCTTTTAAGGTTTTAATTAGAAAATTATTTATTATTTCGAATATATTTTTGGCAGATATTAAAACTGTTTACATTCATATTTTTTATGTAATGTTCCTTATAATGGCTGTATGAAACTTCATCCACTGTTCATCATCAATTTTGTTGACATATATTTTAATATTGAAAGCTTTTGTCTGTCTTGAATATATACAAAAATGTTTTACAATACTATTCACATCGGTTTCTGCAACATCTGATTCTTGATGAGAGACTATTCGTGTGTTTTTATTTTAATTTATTATAGTGCACCAAAACTTCTTTCACATTCATTATGATGAAGCTATTAAAATTTCATATAATTCTAAAATATAGTCTTTGCTACACGTTCAATAGGGACATGTTTCGAGCTTGTAAATACTAGAAGTATGTCTAAAGACGTTATTTTGCGCTGGAAGCAGGTAGATGGCGTACAGAATAGTTGAGTCTGAGGAAAATAGAGGACTACACAGATAGTTTTCAAAATCAGGAAGAAAAGCGTTGGTTACGAGGGTGTGGCTGTGGCTGTGATTGTAAGCAAAGGTTACTTCTATACACAAATACCCACCCACACCGTACACTCGCCAACACCCATGCCTTGTTGGCAACAGTAGAAGCCATCATCGACTAATAAGGCACTGCCATCCATCGCCCTTTCGTATTGAAGTCCAAGGCAACCGAAAGGAACAACAGTAGGAAAGAACAAAAATATGTTTAAATCCTATTTAGAGGTTCTTTTTTTCTTTCCTATTATCTATGGCTATAATGCAATTCTTGTTTGCACGTGTCGTTCTTATTCTTCATTATCTCATATCTGAAGTATGTACATAGATTTTGCCTATTACATTTAGCCAGCAACACTTTTGAAATAAAAGAGAGAATAATCGAGATAAGAAGTCCTTGAAGTTGATAACAACCAAACAAACAAAACCGAAAGTGTCAACATACCAAGGAAGAAAAAACCGAAATATATTTAGAGAGAGACGAAATATTTTTGTTTTTTTTATATTTTACAGTGTGCAAAAAGTATCCACGTTTCCATTCATTTACGTAAGTTGAACAAGAAAATCAAAAGCTCATCACCATCATCGTCATTATCAGCGAAATGGACAAGAAAAATTTGAAACCAAATGCTAGTCACTCATCGTCGTCTACCACAAGTAAACAAAATAAATCATCCACAGCAGCAACAACAACGACAGTAGTGAGTAGAAATGTCACACAGTCACGCCCCGTCCGTCGGATGCTTCAAAATTTTCTTTTGGTCTGGCTTGATGCCGATTTCGATGAGTCCAAAGACGATTATGAAAAACCAATGAAACATCTGCAACATATAGTGGCAACGGTCGCAGTGTTTACAGACGTTGATGAATCCATTGATTTTCTCACTGACATTGAGAACGAAAAAGTATTTATGATCGTATCAGGTGCCCTAGCACAACATATAATACCGATAATTCAAGAATGCCCACAGTTAGTCTCAATTTATATTTTATATGACAATCAATCGATTCATGAGGAATGGGCCAAAACAATACCTAAGGTAAAAGGTATATACACACAAATCGAACCGATTTGTAAAGCATTACAAATCGATCAAGAAAATTGTGATCGAGCTATGATCTCGATAAGTTTTAATAGAATTGATCCATTATTTATGTATACACAATTGTTAAAAGAAGCACTTTTGCAAATAGAAGATGATGATGCAAAATCGATTAAGGAACTCGTTGAATACTGTTGTCTTCAAGACGATGTTTCCAAAACAACACTTGAAAAGATTGAAGAAGAATATCGTAATCATTCACCCATCTGGTGGTACACAGGTCCATATTTTATCTACTCAATGCTCAATT